CTCGAGTGAAAATATGCAAATATCGGGATGCCTCTCGATAGCAAACGCCGGTTTGGGATATGATGCGTTTGCTGATGAAGATGGAACGTGTTGCGGGAATTGCATTTTCGATTCCACTCGACTTTTATGGATCGCCCCTGTTTACACCAAGAATAAGAATAAAAGAGACAAATCCTGGTGGAATGATAAAGCGAAATCTAAAAAAAGAAGATAGGAAGATGAAGCGTGTGAAAGAACAAAGTCTTTGAAATGATGATCTTAAAAATGATCCAAGAAAGTTAATTTACATTCTATTTACATTCTATGCTTATATAATTATTGAAAATCAGCTAATATTCTTCTTTTCTCTTAACAATTATTATTCTTCGCTTAATAAATTATCGTATCCAACTTTTTTTTCTTTTTTTTTAATAAACGAAATGGCGATTATTAAAAAAGGATCGGCAGAATCGCCCGTACCAATTGCCTGGAAATGTTAATCCGCTAATGCACAACCGCCACCTCTCCAGCTTCGCATACTGCAAGTTCCAGCTATTGAGAATAGTTTAGGATTATGCGCTAACGATTCCCCGCTGCGGTCGCTCTGTGTATCATGTCCTACCTGTGGACCCCGTTTCCTACAGGATTAATTAATCTTCCTCATTTCTAGTCGCCCGCTAATGCCACGGCAATAATGCATCGGGACTTAATAAATGGACGTGGTCCAACGGCTCGTGATTAATACTGCTGTGATTAAAATGCGAAAAAAGAAAGATCGCGAATCCAAAATACATCGATAATTCTTCTTCCCTATCTTTTTTTTTTTCTTTAACGAAAATGAGAAAATTTCTTTAATTAATATACTTGCTAAAATTCTTTCTCACTCTACATTTCACTATTCTTCTATCTTTTTACAATCGATACGTGGTTATCGATATTTCTCTCTTCTAAATTACATCTATACAAATTTGTTGTATCTTACGAATACACGTGTAATCAGTCAAGTATTTGACAATTATAGAAATGAAATATGCTATATATACATATTAACGAATTAACGAGGTGAGAAGAAAATAATTTTAATTGGGCACAATTCGAGGGGAATTGAAAATAATTCAATTAATGATTAATCCCCCTCGAAATGCGGGGAACGATATAACCGATACTAAAGCAGTGAATGGATGAACCTTAGAAGTACGGAATACGGTTCTCTCTATCTCTCTCTCTGTCTCTCCAACGTTTATAGTACCCGAAAATTGCACTGTTCCGCTATACACGTACGTATAATTGCGCCATCCACGTTTGCGCCTTTATTGAATCCTCTAATAGATAAATCGACCTAACCTTTCCTATTAATTCCACCGTTTTGCTTAGAACAATCGCTGAATTACCCTTCCGTTCCATGGAAACGTCGTACAGGTGGTTTCGCGATTTCTATGGGAAATGAGGGAATCGAATGGACGATTCGGGATAGGAACGAAATGGCCGAGGTGTGAATCGTACAAGGTGCCTCTACAACGTTCCAAGTAATAAAGTTTTTGTTTCGTTGTAATTGTAAAATTTTTAAATAGCATGCGTGTTTTATTTATAATATTACTGTAGCCAATCATTATTCTTTTTTGAAAAAAAATATAAGTATATTTGGAATATTTTATCTATTTTATTTATAGATATTTCAGTTAGATAATGGTATCTTTTTTTTTATTTTTAATATTGATTGAGATTTAAAACAAAATTAATTAGAGATAATTAACGATCGAGAAGTGATTCCTTTAATTTTTTTTTTTGAAGGGTCAATATTTAAAATTATTATTTCGAACACGACGTTAGTTTTTCGAGTAATAAATTATTTCTTAACAAGCGTATAGCAATAATAATAAGGAAAGAAGAACGAAAGAACAAAAGGGGAGGAAAATTAATTAATTAATTATCAAAGTTTTCTAAGAGTCAGAGGAGGTCTACATACCCAGAGGAATACTATACATATCCGAACAAGTTGAGAATAAAAATAGACGAAAGTTTAAAAATATACCAAGTTTTTAAGTACAACTCGCAAAATCATCGAATTACATGATAAATAATTTAAAACAATAATTTTATCTCGCTAAGACTTTCATTTCTACTTCAAACAAACCGCCATTTCCCTTCTTCGCTCATTTCACAATATCTCGTTTATTATATGAATAACTTATTTGAATCGATAAAATTCGATTAAATTTATCAAAAGATGATCGATCAGTGCAACATATTGAAAATAATATCTCGTATTTTTCCGGATAAAATTTTTCCCCAAAACATATCGTATCCCTTCATTTCCCGACGTTGAATCTTTAACCTTTGTTTATTATTATTTTTGAATCTTTAACCTTTGTTTACGCGTGGCAAAACGTGGGGGATGGTGCGAAAGCATGGAGCTCTAGGCGACCGTGCTCGCATCCCCGGATCTATATTACCGAGATGATCTTCGCCGCAAAATTATTCCACCGAGTCCAGTCAGGTGCACGACGGTGATTACGTATCTCAGCCACGGCCAATACCTACATCCCCTTGCACCCACCGTTCCCCGTCGTAAACGCACGCAAACACACGTGCACACAGCTGCGCTAATTTTAACATTCTACACAGACGGATTTATACACGGTGTATTATTTTTAATTTCGATAATTTTAGAGATTGCAGGGATGATGACTCCCCCTTCTTTTTCTTGAACGTATATATGTTGTATATAAAATTGGAAACAAAGAGTAGCAAACTTTCCATAAACAAAAAATTTTATAATAAGAAACGATTTAGAAACAATTCCTATTATGACTTAAATTTCATCGCGAGCCATAATATTCCAATACTAATTCTTCGAAGATTAAAGAAGAAAGAGAAAAAGGAGAAGCAAACAAACTCGAGTGTCGACATCGAGAGCTCGGAATCAATCCGTTTTGAATATAACACTTGTTTTCGAGCGGTGCATCAATCTGGAGATAAAGAGGGCGTAGACGAATACGTGAAGCGAGAACGGAGAGATAAGGATTAATCAACGTTATCCCTCCCCTCTCGTAACATCGCGCGTCGAACGAATTCGAACCGAGTCGAACGTGTTCGGGACTCGTCCA